TGAGTTTCTTTTTATTTCGAAGTGGATATTTCACTAGTAGATGCTGTTCCATCAGGGCCTGATGGAATCAAGGCGGTTCTACTCCGCAATCTTCCTCGAAAGGGTCTTGTACAATTGTTACATATTGTCAACACAATAATTAAACACCAAGTTGTCTAAAGTGTGCGGAGGTGGTGTCCATCCACAAGGCCGATAAAGCTAGACACCTGACTGATAGTTATCGCCTGATCTCGCTCCTCAGTGTGGTCGCGATGGTCGTCGATAAAGTATTGCTGAGTAGACCTCTTCGCCTAGAGGGGAGGATAAAACTTGTCCCAGAGGAGCAATTCGAGATCCGACGAGGTCGGAATATGACCTCTCAACTGATCTCAGTTGTTCACGGGATAAAGGAATCTTACCATCAGGAGAAGAAAACAGTAATGGTCCTGCTGGATATAAAAAAAGCCTTCGACAAGGTTTGGACAGAAGGGTTTGTCGCCAAAATGTGGTCGGCAGGCATGCGTCTATTTGTGATTAGGATTCTTGAATCCTACCTGACCAACCAAACTTTTCGTATAATAGTGGACCTGTGGACCTAACCACATCTGCACATTATCCGATTAAAGCAGGTGGCCCGCCGAGGTCCTGTCTATTACCGCACCTGTATTTATTGTACACGTACGATTTTCCCATGTTCTTGAAAACGAATGTGGGTATCTATGCGAACGATACCGCAATTATAAGTCTTCGTTCTCGAGCGAGGTGACTAAGCAGCAACTACAGATCCACCTCGACAAGATGATCGTGCCGTACTTTGACAGGAACAAAATTGAGATGAACATATCGAAAACTAAGCTCGTCAACTTTTAGGAGAAATTTACTAATAAAAAAATTTTCCGGAAGTTGTGAATCAAAGGCGTGAGCGTTGATTAGTAGAAAAGCGCACGGTATCTAGGAGTTATCCTGGATAGGCGCCTGAACTTACAGGAACACTTGAGTCTTGCGATCCAATGAGCGGCTGCAGCGATGAAACGCACGTATCTTCTCATTGCGCGGAACTCTAAGCTCAATGTTGACAAGTTGCGTATTTACAAACAGGTAATAAGACCAGCTATGTTGTACGTCTGTCCTGTATTCTGCCGCCTCGAGAGATTTCCCTTACAGAAACTCGAAAGGATGTAGGATGAGGTGCTCCGTATTTGCACGAATAGTGACAGATACATTTAATTGGTCGATCTGTTAGATCTGGCTGGAGTGGAGACAGTCACTGAATATATCAGGGTCTCAGAAAAATTTCAAGTTCTTTCTGTCGAAAAGTCCGCTGACGAGGGACGTCAAGGCTATTAGGAGTTATAATAATCAGCCCCGTAAACACGGACTGATTTAATATCCATTGGATATCTTTATGAACGGTGCGAACACGAACGCGCTCAGTTCATGGAGAAATTGGATAAGATAATTCACGCAATAGCGTGATAGCAGAACTATTCTTACCTGGTTTTTCCACGAACTTTTTCCAGGAGGTTCCGGACATCTGTTATTGGCTTAGAATGAGATTCAGCAATATCGAAATCGTACCAAAAGGAAATCTCTAGCGTGAGCTTCGGCAGGAAGGGGGATGTCATAGACGGAGCTATACCCGTTAACACCAGTGGAACCGTGTGGCGGCATTTCTTTTGTCATCCTGTTGGGCTCAGCAAAGCAGTCATCCTCCTATCAGTGTCCCCCCTTATCTGATCCCCTTCCTTTCCCTAACCCTGCTCCAGTATGTGGAGAATGGTTGTATTGTATATATGTAAATAAATTTTTTATTATTGTAGAATGTGAACGGAAAATAAAGAGTTTTGGTTTGGTTTGGCATCGCTCTATTAATCAAACGGTTCGTGTTCGATTCCGGGCCAAGTCAAGAATTTCTATTTTCTTCAGTTTCAGGGTCTCATAGTGTTACTGTATCTATCAACTCAGTAAAATTATAGATAAGTCGGTGGTACTCATGTACTATCATGCCCAATTAAACTCAACAATCTCATATAGTATAGTAGCTTGGGGCCTATCACGTGAGGCACAAAGGGTATTTATTTTACAGAAGAGATGGAGAATACCGCTAAATCACGATAAAATCTGCTAAAGTGTAATAAAGGCCGAACTGAAAAGTAACTGCGTAATATAAACCACTGAAATGTCCAATTAGTCATTAAAATTAAAAGTTCAAAAATAATATTTCAAAACGCTCAAAGGAGGAGTATCCATTATACTAAGCAAAAAACACAACAAGTTTCTAGTTCTTAAAATAGTCCAGTTAAATTAAAAATCCTTCAGATGCCGTTATCTTCAAAAGTTTACTTTGCACACGTATGACTTGATATCAGCGCTAAAATTGAATGAGATAAATGAAAAAAAAGAATACACATCATTATCATTATCAAAAAAAAGTATATTATCTGATACTGTGTTAGTCGTATTTTTTTACTCATATCTGACTTATGCTTCTTATGCTCAGGAAGCATAAGAAGTACTTTTGCAAATTATCTTCGAATGATGGTGATCTATGAACCATTTTGTATGGTTTATTTTCAGGTTGATTTCATATAATTGTGCAGATAACTGGATTGAAGATGCTATCCATGGTTGAAAACTCGAAGTATATTTTGAAACATTTCTTACAGATGAAGAACAATTTAAAGGGGTGCTTCAGTAGAAAACTAAGTGCAGCCTAAACAATGTTTTCGTTAAGTATAATCAGTATAACCTTTCATCCATTAATCAGAAATGAATGATTTTTTCACAAATGCATTTTTCTGTGTAAATAACGTGATTTGAATCATACAATATCAGATGTTTCAAAAAGTCAAGCAATCAGATTAATCTTTCTTAGAATGTAAGCAAACACATTTATGATGCTTTTTCCAGTTATTGAATTGGGATGAACGTTTTTATCATCACTACTTGTCACTCGATCACCCAATTTAAGCAAAATTAACTTTTAATATCGATAGATGATGATATTTATCAACTAGACACGCCTGTAGACGAGTAGAAATATTTCTCATCACTACATATCATAAAACAACCTTACCCACCGCGTCCGTCGGTTAGTCTGAACGCGAATAACCCAAAATCACTGAACGAATTTGAATACGGTTTTGACAAATGAACGGATTCTTTCCAAAAGAAGGTTTATGTGTATATGATTCAATAATTATTTGCGTAAATTGGTTGAAATATGAGAATGTTATCCCAACGAAGTCAAGGTGGCGGTGCTACTCTTGTGAAGCCGGAAGAATTAATGAAAAACGCCATTATTACTTCAAAAAGCCCGTATCTATCTTGTAACAATGTCTATCATTAAAGGATAGCTTTCAATGGTATAATAATGTGGAAATTACAGAGTAATTTACACGGAGACGATGTTAATCCTTATCAAATCACACATATCAGTAACTTAAGCATTTCATGCATATAATAATTGCCCTCAACACCATACAATTTAAATTAATATATCGCAAAATTGAAAATATCGCACAACAAAATAAATTCAGGCGGCCTCAGACCGATACGACATGCTTCATGAAGAAAGGTTTCAGTTGCACTGGTTTTGTTTTAAGTAGTGGATCACTTTGAAGATTCAGGTTACAAATATAGATACGTCATATAGATACGTACTTAGATATTTCAAAATAAAAATGAATAATGCAAACATACTTTGGTTTTGAGATTTTCATCATAAATCATCATTATTGATTACAAAGTGACGCAACACTATGAAAGACAAAATGCAAGCATATAATGCTCTGTTACCCATGCGAAACCGGGGCGGGTGCTAGTTGAAAATGAATATATTTCAGAAGAAAACGGGGTCTTATTGAATAGCTATTGCAGGTTTGTTGTTCGCCTACCTATTTTGGGACGATTTTGACATTATACCTTATACATGAAACATCATCTTGTATGCTTCATTCATAAATTATTAAGAAATCAATGTCCAGATTACCTCTATTCCAAAATTACTCCATGTCACCAGTAGAAACCTTCGTAACATCAATATGCTTACCCTCCCGCGTCACTCTCCATCTTTTATCCAAACCTCTTTCGCTCATAGCGCTGTAACCGACTACAACTCATATACAATGTAAACAATAAGTCTACCTGAATTGAATTAAATTAAATTAAATTGAACCATATTGAATTATCCAATTCATTTTACTAAATCATATTTTTTATTATTAATTTATCTAGATGTACTTTTGTTATATGATGTTAAAACCTAGATTCGATCCTATTTTTAAGTTATGCCACTGTATCACTGTATAAAAATATTCTCGGTTGAATGATAGAATATCTTAAGCTAAACTTCGTCAAGATAAAATAAAAACCATTTATTATTTTACTTTTTTCACCGTAGTGTGCGCTGGTCAGGCCCTATCCCCCGAAGCCCCGATACATTCGGGAGAGCTCGCCACCATTTATTATTACTTGCTTTTTGACTCAACTATATTAGCTCATTTCTGTTTTTTTATAATTTCTATTACCATTGTTGATATTATCTTTTTTGAAATTACAGGTCATCCAGAAAAACTACACATTCAACTGTCACACTTTAAACAGAAGTACAATTGGGACTGTGGTGTGTCATGTGTACTTATGGTATTACCGGAAAAAAAGAAACAGAAATTTTTGAAAAACTTTACACAAATTTGTGAAAACGAAGGCTTCAATAAAAGGTACAGCAAATTATTCAAAAACTTTTAGAGTAAACATATACACGTAGATATATCTGATTCATTTTCAGTACCTGGACGATCGATCTATGCTACCTATTGAAGAAATTTGATATACGACATGTATTTTACACAATAACCCTAGGGGTTCACGAGGGATATAGAGGAAATAGTTTTTATAATAATGTTCTGAACAAGGTATGTTATCTAATAAAATTGTTACACTAGTTGAAAGTCATGAAACTTATTCAAAATTAAAGTATCTCAATACAACTAGTACGAATAGAAACCAAAACTGTCTTCAAGATTTAAAAAATATTCTACATCAGTGATAATGCGATAGGTATAGTCGAAGTATACGATATTGTGCACTCTTAAAGTTGGCGACACTCTCAAAGGCCAAAAAAACCAATACATAGGAATAAACCGGCAGCAAAATAGTCCACGTGAACTGTAGAATTGGCGGTTCGTATTGGATAAGTTTTACTAACCGAGTTTTATGATTGGCTGAAGAGTCATAAAATTAAATTTGAAGTCATGTTACGGTAACGAATAGAAATCGGGGAATGAGGGGATGGTTATCGACGTCGTGTTCAGTTCAGGAACTGATCGCCATTTGAGTGTTGAAATTCGATATTGGTGCGGTTATAATTACTTAAAATTTTTGTTTTCTGTTTAAAATGTGGCGTCCTTGGACAAGTACTAATAATAATAAGGAGTCTGTTAATAACGCAGACTTTTTTCTGTGTCGTGATTCCAATAGCGATGGTNTATAGTGTTAATGTGTTATAAAATATATAAAAAAAATTATAACTGTCCCAATCTCAAATCTTTACTGAAAGAGAGAATTCCCAAAAGAACAACAAGACTCATTCAATTCTTTGATGTACCATATGTATCAACAAATAACTGTTCACCTATCATTACAATGATCAAAATAACAAACAACTTCCTGTTAATGTCAGATATCAACTTTGTTCTCCCTTCCAAACAAGTTTACAGTGATATAAAAACATTCTTTAAAAGCTTAGAATAACTTTGTTATTCCCTCTCTTGAAGATGATCACTTGGTGATCGAAACACATGTAAAGGTGTTTAAATACCTCTTTATTCTTAATTTCTTTAAATTCGGATAAATGAATATGCTCATAAGCAGCCACTTTCTGAAGTAATGGAAGATTTTTTTTAACTTCCAGTTTTTCCAGAAGTGACATCATCGTTTGATTTTAAATTTGAAATGATTTTTTTTTAAATCTACATAATTTTCTGACTACAGTGATACCCTATAGTTGATATTTGATTGAGGAATTCGAACATATGGTCCTATTAAGAGAATTGCAAGAACACCCGACTTCTAGGTTGTCGGGGAATTGGTTATGAAACAAAAAACAAATGTTGGCGTTTCGATAAACTGTTATTGTTAGTTAGTTACTGCCTACATTGTTGTAGATCTTAATGACAACAGAAATAAGTGAAAAATGCCACATGCTCATAACAAAAACGAGAAAGTGCATATGGAGGTAATTTATAGAGAATGTTGGCAAATTGCAGTTACTGATCATCGGTTGACTGTTTTACGTATTGGAAAAATTTTCCAACTTCCGGTATTTCCTGAAGTCTTATTAATGTTTGATTTTCAAATAAACCACTCTGAATGGTATGTTTAAAAAATCTATATGATTTTCTGTATCCAATGATACCCCCCATAGTTGATATTTCAAGTGCCAAGACGGTCGGTTTATTATTCGATCTTGAGAGTCCTGAAAAATGGTGAAAAAATTACTAATATAATTTCAATTGAGTCAACGCTATGAATCAACAACATTCTCCAGACATGTTCGAGCCTGTTTCGCAGGATTCTGAGGTAGGTACAATGAAGTGTCTTACTCGTACTTCTATATCCTCGCTGGTTATTGGGGAAGACAATATTTTTCAAGTGACACCAAACGAAAACGGCTAGAGGGGTTAAGTTGGGTAATCTTGCAGGCCACCTGACAGAACCATGTGTTCTAATCCATTATTCAAATATCAACTATGGGGAATCATTATATTTATACAGTTATGTAGATTTAAAAAATGTGAAAAATTACAAAACTTTTTATTTGAAATCAAACGTTAATGTAATTTTCGAAAAAACAGAAGTTTCAAAAATTTCCTGTGCCACACTGTAGAAAGTACTGAGACCAAGTCCTCAAACGGACGAATCTTTAGTGGATATAATCTAACGGCATCAGGGTAAGTTTAGAGGCGGAACTCATATGTGGAGATAGAAATGTTTTTTTTTTCGTAAACCAGTGGTCGTCCTCGTACAAGCCGCAATCCTCGAAAGTCGAAACTTGTGGTTAACGAGTCCGTACTTTCAACGTTCGATTCCTATCACGTATCATACAGAACACAGTGAACACCCGTCGTCCCTTCCAGAGTTGGGATCGAGCCAAGATAAGAATAACGGTGATTTCATGTAGGCAATCAACTGATAAATAATTATTTCGTCATTGAAATTTATTTGTCAACGCACCCTTTCAATGTCTTGGGGTCCTTTTGATTGATGAAGTACTTTGCAGCATCATAAATAATAAAAACATACCCATAACGAGATTTGGACCAATCTTTTTGATTGCAGATTATCATAAGTATTTTGCTTATTGATAATTCATGTTTCATTATCCATTGCATGTGATTTCATCGATTAATCGTTGACAGATATCAAAAGACGTCACTGATTAGTGGATGATTAAAATGAAAAAAATGACCAGCAATCGATGTTGATAAGTGACACAGAACTATTATTTTCCAAACGAAATAATTTGTTACATTTGTAGTTTTCCATATTCTTCCCCTGTAACACCACTAAATTACAAAGACTAACAAATGTCACAGAGTCCTTTCATCAAAATTTGTTTTATCTGTAACATTAGTTAATTTTATTAGTTCGAACTTCCATTATCTATATGACCGAATAATCGAATACCGTTATAATTTTATTATTAGTCAGTAGGCTAGACTGGCAGTAAACAAATCTAAAGAAATTAACTTTAAACGTTCAAGCCAGTCTCGAATATACCTACACAGTAGGTTGAATGGACTGGCGCCTATCAGAAAACAACTACTCCCTTGGCTAATACCACGAAGGGCGTTGGATTATATCCGACGGGCGTTAGTGCAGGAATCTTCATAAAAAGAGTCGACCTTCAATTTTGGAACGGGCACACTCGCAAACCGGTTTCGGGCTCATTAGCCACTCATCAGAACAAGATAGTGGCCATCATTCCTTATTCAGAGGAATCGGGCAAATTTCGGATATGCAGTTGGTTAGTACCTCGTCCACTAGATGGATTGACATTTTGTTGTTCGCTCCAACTTAGGAAGAGGAATAAAATACTCTGAAAGAATTCCGATTTTCAATTATGGAATATCATTGGGCTGGACTAAGAGTTTAACAATGATCTCCCCGATCACAGAAATCATAATAGGAGCGTTAAAACATAATGCATCCAATTATGTATATAGTTATAGTTAGTTATTAATGAATTTCTTTATTTTTTTCTCATTTTTTTAAATTTGATATTAGGTGATAAGTAGAATACTAAGATTACTTGAAGATAATGTGTGAGGGAAGATGCCCAGTTGTAAGGCCTTTAAGTCAGGGCAATGTAGGCAAATACTTTATTCATGTCCTTGAAGGAAAAGCCTGAGTACAGAATGGCGATGACATCTTCTCTTATAAAGATGCCATCTATGGGATTGGCAGAGTCACTCCACGAATCGAAGATAAATGAGGTCATGGTTCAGCCTAGCACCACTGATGAGATCTATGGTGGATCGAACAATCGCTGGTCCAGCGTTGATCACGAATGCTTTGTTGTTGGGCCCTAGTTTCATTACCTTGCAATGAAAACTGTTGTGCAAGACGAATCTCGTGCGGTGGTCGATGTCAAAGTTTCACTTTGCAAATGACCACCTCGGGAAGCCTTGTTCATCTCGGGAAGCCTTGTTGATCCCATAGATCGCATCTTCCGAAGGGGAGATGTCATCGCCGTTTACTAAGAGTTCTTTTTGATTAAATGCAAACGTTAACTCTTTTGTCTTACTTTCTTCAATTGAAGAACAAAAGGATGTTACATAGAAGTGTGTCTTTTATTCCGTATTTTATCAATCACGCATGTCTATTTCTTCGTCATGTCAATGTAATGCACCTTCTTAGGATATTGAAAGTTGGTGATGTAAGCAAAAATCACGAAACACCTAACAATTTTGAACATAGGTATTTTATAACGAAATGTAAATAATGGTAAACGTTTTGAAAACATTTCTTGGATTTATCGAACTTTTAATTTCTTTTGCTGTAAAAAAATCAAATCAGTACTTAATCTATCAAATTACAATAATTGTATAAAGATGGAGAAATAGAAAGTCAAAACCTTTCTATTTCAAAAATTGATCTCTATTGAAAATATTCTTTTCAATTTGATTTTCAACATCTTATTCAACTGAGCATTATTTTATTTATTTTACATCATATTTCTGTTTCAGGATGAACAACGAATTACTGCTAGGTTCAAGAAAGCAGAGGGCTTGGGAATATTGATAAGGAAACTATCTTTATCAATAGCAGAAATAGTGACCCATCTAGTCAACGGCCCCGTAATAGTTTTAACAAATGCGAAAATTTTAACCTGTGATATTTGTAAATTCAACAAGATTTCCAGTGAATTCAGAAAATGTATTCCATGGCCAACTTCCTATCAAGGTCATTATGTTGTGATTTGTGGTTATGACATTAGTTCTAGAAAATTTTTCTATCGCAACCCATCGTTTGGGGATCGTAAGTATTCTCTATATGATTTTTTCTATCATTTCAATTGATTCTCTTCTTTCAGATGTTTGTACTATTTCCATGGATTTACTGGATCTTGCTCGGAAGAGTTATGGAACTGATGAAGATATAATCTTCGTTTTCAAGTAGCTGAGACTTGACACATATAACTGGACGTAATTCCTGTTATGTGAAAACCTCATATCGATGACATTCATTTTTATATTTTTTCGACCCTTCGAAATTTTGTATTTCGAACTTTTTATCGTTTTTGTGTAGATATTTGAATAAATTAAACTTTTGATTTCAAAACTTTTATAACCATAACCTTCTTCTCATTCTTCGAACATCAGCCATTCGATAGAATCATGATTAGGTGTTACAAAGAAGCTCTGAAATATCTCAAATTTTCTGTATATATTCGCTAGGAAACGTTATCATTATGATGGTTTACGATTTGGCATTTGACTTGAAATAATTTGAGTGGACTTTTCGAATCAATAATTTCTATAGGAATTTAAAAATAAAAAACAGAAGTAGAGAATGCAAAAAAACCCTTACTATTTTCATTGTTTGGAGAATCAGTTGTGACAAAAATGTTCTTGTTGATACTATTTGAAACTGTATTGTCATTCACGAGTTTTTCGCTCATAACACAGGCTTTATTAGTTATATCAATAAAAATAGAATAGATGTAGGAGATAATTATATAAAACAAATAAAAAACACAGTATAAACAAGCAAAAAATCGTGATGTCATGCAGCCAGATCAGTTTGAAAATATTCATCAAGTGAATAAAAGGCATTTTTGTTAGATTTGCACATTCAAAATTGAATATGAAAAATCAAATTGATATAATGATGATCTATTTTTTAACTTCTTGAAAAACATAATTTTTAGCTTTAACTGATCTATTTAATGAAACTAGTTTGTGTTATTTGTCGAAACTTATTACTCTTAAGTCTTTATACTGGGCTGCACTTCTTAGGTAAAACTTTGACCAGTGCTCTACCTCACATCTTCGATAGACATTTCACGTCAGACAGTAATTAATTAACTATGTGTGGAATATATTGAATGATGTGCAGACAACATAACTCAATCAACCTAACATTTAGCCCATCACACGGACAAATTATTAATCTTTACAAAGTGGAATGTTGTATTTACTTTCGGATTGGTTTGGTAGAAATACAAAAGTTCATCCGGTGGTTCATTGATTTGTAAAGAATTAATGGAAAATGTATTTATGTCATTTGGATTATTCAATTGTTCAGGTAGGTAATGTGCGTGATTGCTCAGGAAGCACTTTGGACTATCTTGAGTGGACCACATTTGTTTTTTGTTACTATTATCAAACCTCTCAGTGAAATATGTCTTTTTCATTTTTGATAGCCTTGGTCACCTAATTTCGCATATCTTTATACAATTTAAAATTGGTATCTGTTATTGTCCTTTTACGGTGTCAAACAAAAAAAAGTTAATGAGTTTTTGTTCCTTGCTTGTATCGTTGTTAAACCTCATTCATCCGAATATCAACTTTTTTTGTTTGACACCGAAAAAAAGGGAGAATAATACATAGCTATCAAGTAATAATTCATAATTTTTGTAGGTCCTCAGCACATTCCATCTGTAGTATCACTTCTTTATTGTTTCCCTTTGGAACAATATATCCAAAGTTGGTGCGAACTCTGCTGTTACTACCACCTTTTTCGAGGCAACTTTCAACTAGTTAAATTTGAAAATTATCGAAGCGTCTCTGTATGTCCACCTTCTCTTTCGATGCATCTAATTGTTCGCTCATAAAATTCGTTTAATGTAGATCGCAACACATTAGCGGGAATATTTCTGCAATGAACTCGTATTGAAGTTTCAAGCTCATCAACATTATTAAAGGGGCGATCTCTGTAGACGTTTTGTTTTAAGTATCCCCATAAAAAATAATCTAGAGGGGTAAGGTCTGGAGAATGAGGAGGCCATCGGTATTTCGTCCTAACCATTTATTACGAAATATCCTATTCAACCACTGAGTAGCCACTAGTAGAATGGACAGGACATCCGTCATGTTAGAACCATAACTTTTGCCGTTCTTCTAGTTCCATATCATAAGTTTTGGAACATGCACCGACTTTTGTCAAGAATAAAATTTTCTGAGAAATCGATAACAAAAAAGTTTCCCATTTGTTGCACACTTAGTGGACCACACTGTATATTTATTCTACTTTAGCACTCCCACGTGGACATCTGGTCCCCCGGCCTCTAACCGACGTGAATAAGAGCACTATTTATTTCAAAACACTTAAACAATTCTTATTAACACTACTCTTAATATTATATTAATGCTGGCACGTCATAAAACGGCGGACAACACAAAATGAGTTCCATCTCCAACAATGGCGTCCGCATACCCTCTTTGTGGACGGTCGTTATCAGCACACGTCCGTCCACCACCATATCAGAAACGAAACAAAAAACCCAGACCGTTCAATGAAATGGCCTTCAGCGATGAAGAGTTCGTTCCCATTGACGTGTATGCTTCAAATTATTCTGAAAATATTCCACCTTACCTAAAAACAAGTTTTGTCGCTCTAGAACCACCACCTTCATCCTAAGTGCCATTGATTGATATGAATGAGGAGGATCTGCTACAGTCTTCTAATGATACTCGTGAGCGGTGGCCTTTCTTGCTTCAAAATTCTCAACACATTGTTGTTAATAAGACTCAACCTGAACCGAGTAACTACTAATATAATATGCCTGTAACACCACACGTCATAAGTCACAAGACTTAATACTGTAGCTGTAAGAAACAGAAATACCAATAAAGGAAGAAAATCGGGCAAATCCCATACATATAAATATACAGATACAGCAAACAGCTGTTTAAGTGCTTGAGAGAAGAATGTTTAATTTCAAGTTGTTTTAGAAATTTTAGGTTCGTTTTGCGAGGTTTTGGCATATAAATTAAATGTTAATAGCATGCCCCCACATGCTCAAGACGTCTTCGATCACAAAATCCAAATGATAAACATAATATCCTTGCCAAATGGCTCATTAAGTGCAAAAAACATTTTATTACGAAATATTACAAGTGGGCAATAAAAATAAAAGTATCAAAAAGGAAAAGATAAAATTAAAAATGAGACTAAAGATAAATGAAGAGTGTGGAACTCATAAATATATAGAAACAGTTGTGTACAAAGAAAATGAATTGTGACCTGGCATGAAAAGGAATAATCAAATTGGTCCAATAATAAGTTTAGCTCAAGAATATGTAAACAATAAAAATGGAGTCAAACCAGTTATCAAGCGAAAGTAATTGTGAATTGTGGATACTAACAATCGCAACGTGCTGAAGTTGTTTGATTTAAAGTATGTACTCTCATTTTTATTATTTGCATATTTTTTCACCATTCATCTTCATTATTTTATCTTGATTCTTATAGTTCAAATATTATTTTTTCATATTTTGTTACTATGTCCGTTTTAACTAACTCGTCGAAATATTTTGGTCCTTCTATTTAAAATATGTTCAACCTTTCAGTCACACTTTTTCACTTTCTACTTCTCATAGATTTGAAAAATGTAAATACGCATCTACAACCACTTCTGAATACACAAAAAATCAGCTGTGACTAGGCTGCAATACCGCTTAATACGTTTCGCCCTAGTATTGTTGATCCTTAATCTCTCTTCTTTAAAAGATTTCTCAACTCCTCATCGCATAATTGAAATAAATCAATGTTTTCCATATGTGAACAAGGAACGAACCACGAGAGCTGACCTCACGCCTCTCAGAGCCCTCTCGCGCAAGAATTTTCTTGGTTGCCCTCACTGACATTACTTCTCCAAAATGAATAATGACGCCACTGAATATTCTACAATCTTTGGAAATTTCTTTGGCAGCCAACTTCACGCTGCTAAAAAATGAAGGGTGAGAGATATAAAATTAACTAGTGGCAACACTGTTCAATGACGAGTGACAATCTGTCAAAGAAAATCATTATCCATAAAGAGTAGGGTTAAGTTAACTTCATTTTACGTAACTCATTTTTTGTGGTGAGGATTCATAAATTTTTCGTGTATTCTTCATCAAACTCTTAAAAATGTTCAGAACAACAGCAGTTCGTGCTCAATCTATTTTGAGGACTGTTATGGCTACATCAAAGATGAATGTAGCATCTTCCACAAGGTGAGAATAAAATCAGAAAACATTATGTATTAATGGAAGTCACAGTTCATTTATAATTATATTTTTCTAAGGTTAATGTCAAGCCACAGCACTGAGACAGACGATCAATTCGACACTCGATTTGAAAATTTTTTCAACCGCAAGGACATTGACGGTTGGGAAATCAGAAGAGGTATCAATGATCTGTGGGGACACGATTTGGTTCCAGAACCGAAAATTCTCATTGCTGCTCTCAAAGCTTGCCGTAGAGTAAATGACTTTGCTCTCGCAGTTAGGATTCTGGAAGCTGTTAAGGACAAATGTGGAAGCAAGGTCGACGTAATTTATCCATATATCATACAGGAAATTCAACCGGCATTGAAAGAATTGGGCATCAGTACACCAGAAGAACTAGGTTTTGATAAACCTGAATTGTATCTTGAAAGTGTTTACAATATGTAATTTCTATATAAAACTAGTGTATAAATTTACTGTATATTCTTAGTTCATTCACTAGTAGGTATAAAGATTTGCTTGGGAGTTTCTTTCCAATTTTGGTTCATTTCTATGATGAACTCACTCCAATTCTAAATGAATAGAGCTCCATATACATAAATTCTATTCAATACGTAAACCTTAAAGGAATGATATATTTATTTGCCCATGAACAACACTTGTTTATTCAGGTAATACTGTGAATGAAATAAATATAAACTTCGTGAACGATTTTATTGAATTATCATCATGGCTTGATTCCCATAAACCGTCTTTAAATCATTCAAAATCTTCATGTATGTATAAATCCAAAATACTTTTACCTAATTTCTTTAAAATTACCATTAGATTAAAAAATGAAGCAACATAATGTTTCAGAGTAATAACCTTTTAAGACTTGTATATTGATCATAACCTAACTTGGTCAAAACACATTGAAATTTTGTGAAAAATGCATTTTGGAGTTCCTGGGGCTCTTCATAGAATTTGACAGCTTCCTTTGAAATAAGGAAAATGTATATATTTTTCCTTAATCTACTCAAAACTAATTACTTGATTTTGATTTGGGGAACTGTTGCAGCGCATGTTTTCAAAAAAAAACATTGAAACGTATTTTCAATCTGGAGTACCATGAACCCACTTTAAATCTTCATAAACCTAAAGGACTTATTGACTTAAATTATTTGTATAACTACAACATATCTCTTTGTCCATTCAATCAAAAATATCTAATTCTCTAATTTAAAATTTACCATTCACCATGCTTCGTGAGTCATTGTTAATAAAATTAAAGAATTCTGGAAACTTTAATTGCAACCAAGAACCTCAAGTAATGCAGAAAGGACAATGATTGGGTTTTGTGTATATCAATCAAAGAACAAGTAACTTGCAATCCTATTCAAGAATTATAAATGCAGTCACGTGATAGTATTTTATATTGATGAGGCATATTTCTCTGCTGTTTGGCTTCAAATTTTTTCATTTCTTCAGAAGATGAAGCATGATTATTGAGAGATATAAAAAATAGCTACTTACTCACCAAAAGGGTATTTATTGCATTGCATAAAAATCAATTTTTCTAAATTTGGGAACAAGACTTTCATTTAATGGAATTGCCAGATTACTTGATGAAAAGCCATGATTGATGGCGTATTTATTTAATAACACTTCATTGTGAATCTTACTAAAAAAATTACCAAACTCTACTACGTTTCACTATACGATAGCTTCTTCAGTGCTACAGGTGTGTGATACTATAGGTAGTAGTGTAAAACTTTTGTGGTTTTATAAACTGTTTAGTAACAAGTTGAACCATAGTAAATGTCATTTACTGAATCATTTTTGCAGAATGTTTCATTCATTCAAAAATTCTTACATATTGAAACGACTATGATAACTGAATTTCATCATTTTCAATTCTTCTTTTTTAGTTGTTTCAGGGATTGCATATCATTTTATATAGTAGACAATGGAAGTTCGTACTAATAAAATTCATCATGAAACATTGTCAATCACCTTCAAACAGACTATGATAACTATAATGTTTTTTGGATTCACTTGACTACCTAGTACTTAGCATTGTTCTTGCATGTATTTCGATTCTAATAATACAATAAGGTAAGTGTTAGTTTTATACAAATGCTTAGATGATTAGAAATATCAACATCTGGATAGACGGACGTGTAGTTATGTTATAACTAGATGGGCAGATTAAAGAATGCCTAAACATGAGTGTAACGGAATTGACCACAGAAGCATTCACCAACCTGCGAAACTTCCTGGTGAAGAGAAACATTCGTCAAGGGAGGTCAAATATCTGAGAGTGAGACACTATCATCAGGCTGACCTAGAACCAACATTTAGAAAGAGTGAGGTAGGCTCTGGTGCTAGCCAGATTCGCCTAGGGAAAGACATGGAGACCTGAAACCAGACATGGTGCTTAAACTCATGATAACATATGTGTCTATGGTCTTGTGGCCAAAGATGAAGCAAACGAACGCTATGAATAAACCAAGCAGGGTACCAAGACTGCATGTACGGAATAACGGCGGCAATGAAAACAAACTCCAACAACTGGTGATACTCTTGAACCTCCCTCCTTTACATCTAGTTATAGGGAAGCAAGGATGGACCAATTCAGACTGGAAAACTCGCCGAGTTATATGATATCATATAACTCGATATATATCGGGTAAAACAGAAATTCGGGAATATTTGGAGGAAAGAACATCAAACATGACACCAAAATATATGTTCGACACAAACTTTGCGGTTAGTCTTAAACCGCGAAGAATAGATAATGAACAATCATCCTGAGAACGTGCTTGGCAGAAACACCTGGCACACAAATGAGTCGAAAACCAAACATGGGACGGGATCTGGAATTTACTATGTGGGGGATAATCTTCATTTCAGTTACCCACTCGATCAGTATACATCAGTTTTCCAGGCAAATGCATGGCATTTTATGCAAATGTAAGGCACTGGATCTTGGGAGGCAAAATTTGTGCACAAACCAAACTATGTCCACAAGAATAAGATAAGACCTGTACAAAATGGTAAAGGGAAAATGATTGTTGGAATGATGGGTGTTATGAAAAAGATGGGGGGGAAGACCAGTCCGTGGGGCTGTATCAGTGTTTTTCGGAGAGTTGGTAGAAATGAATAAGTCAGACGGCTCCCAAGTAGTAAAAACATTTAGACAATGTTGAAGTTCAAAAATTTTATCAGAGCAGAAGTACAATTTAAAATGCATTTCTTCAATGAGAATGATAATGAAATCTTTGAACTAAATTTTGTTATATGTTATTATATTTTGTTACGTAACCACCCCTACAATTTCAGGTGGAAAACTTCTGTATACAAAAAACCCACTCACACGCGACAGTATCTCTGAATTACGAATCCAACCACCATCAATCTACCAAAAGAGGAATCATCAACACTCTAATGGATTGGGCTTTTGGGCTCTGTAATACGAAGGAAGGTCTCGATCAAAAAAGATCTTCAGCAGAATGGTTACTCCAAAGTGATGGTGGAACAGACTTTGGCTTGAAGACAACAAGAGCCTCGCAAGGAAGAGAAGCCGTGACAACCAGTGCTTGTGCTTCCCTACGTCAGAGTATTGTCGGAAAGGATAAGAAGAATTGGGGAAACCAGCAAATTTAGAATAGCAGAGCATAACATCAAGTGGTCCCAAGCTGAGATCATCCACAGGAATAAGGAACCACTAGTTTAAGAGGAAGTTCAAAGAAGCTGCATATATGTTGTCCAACGCATTCAGCCACGCTGGCGTAGAGATACGCAACATATGAAAACCTATAATCAAGCGGAAAACGGTCAACTCCCGCTAAACCAGTAAAATGGAGAGAGTGAAAAGGGGATAGGTCAAAGCGCTCAAATGATCTATTGATAGTCATCTCTTGGAGGAATAGTCCAGTCATCACTTGAAGACGATTGTGGATACTAACAATCGAAACGTCGTGAAGTAACATGGTTGAAACCTTTTTTAATCTATTTTTTTATTTTTTTCTCATTTTTATTTTTTGTTATTTTCTTTTTTCTCTGTAGTCATCATTTTATATCTTGATTATTTGATTTATATTTTTATTTCACGTTTTATTGCTTAATATAATTAATATTTTAGCTACTCATTGTAATTGTATTTGTTCAAAGAGTTCGAATCATATTCGACAATGGAAGTCCGAACTAATGAAATTCACCATGAATCACTTTCAACCACTTTCAAACAAATATTTTTTGGTATGTAGTTTACCAACATATCCATCTTGATTTTTTTCAAATAATGTGAATTTTCAAAGGTGCTTTTATTTTTTTTGCAAAAATGATACAAGCTCTCCCAATTTGATGAAACTAGTTTGGATATTTGAAACTTGATTTNCGACAACTCTCAGAAGGTGAGAAACTTGTGCGAGCTAAGGACTAACGAGGTCTTACCTTCTAACATTTGATTCTTAACACGAGCATCACTTTCAAATCACGCATTTTCGAGAGGTATCAAATAACCCCCAAAATATTCAGCATTGGCTTGCGGTCTATAAGATTTAACGTGATCTTTAGTCTTACTTCAATATGACAGTTGTGATCAAGTCTTGGGAATAATAAACTTTTATGTGAGAGTTTGCAAGTTGGACCATTACTCTCATGGAGAAATTGAGAAGATGCTCAAAATTAGATGTAGATATATTGTTAGCTGACGAACTATGAGCATTCAAACCGCTAGCAACCCTGCATGTTATAAGGCTGAAATATCAGTATATTGATTTTCCTATTAAACTGAATTATTCAAAATTGTGCATAATCTGTTGATAGTTCTTTTGATTGTCATTTTTATTTCAATTATTTATTTAAGATATGTTGAAAAATCAGAATTATGTTCCTAACCAATTAAATACCAGAACTGTTATCAAATCATATTATTCCATTAAATGCAAATCATACATTTTCATTTCAAGTAGAGTGATGTTCATCATAAAAATTTCAATTACAAAAAAACAGATTCAAAAGATTTCCACTCATTGAGCGAATTAGCTCGTCGTTTCCTTCTGTAGGATTGGTACATAATCATCAAACTGAGCTTGATATAAATTGCCAGCAATCGGTTGTCCCAATTTATACTTTTCAGCGAATTTTCTTATGGAAAAGCTGAGACGTCCTTGTCTAGACCTGTAAAAGAAATCAAAATGAAACATTAAATATTTAATTTTATCGATGTCTGCTGTTCAAACGAGCTTTTGATTTGTTCTATAATGAAAATTCCATTCAATTATTGCACTGAATTCTTTTTACTTTAATCATGTCAAAATTGATTTCTGCATACTTTTTTTTAACTTCAACTTGAAAGACATTTTTTGTGGAGGACTCAATACTTTCTACTGCTTTTTTTTGGTATATAACCTTCCATAATCTGAATAATAAACAAAGCTAAATTAATAGAGACTCTGCTGAAGTGTAATAAAGGTAAACTGAAAAGTTAACCCCGAAAAATTACCGCGTAATATAACCCACTAAAGAGTCCAATTAGTCAAGTAACTTGTATTCATAAATTTTGAGTAGAAATTGAAAAAAATAATCTATAGTTAGCTTTTTTTAGCGGTCGACGTTTCAGAAAACAGTATTTTCCGTTTTCAAAACCTGAAATTAACCGTGTGAATTTTCAGAAAAAAAACAGTAGGAAGTACAGGTTGATGTAATTCTGCATGAAGCACTTCTAGACAGTAATGGGAGTCGAGTCGTTTACAACCCTTCACTATTCCTCATTATCTCAGAAAAACAAAAATCTGTTGAATTTTCAGTACATTTTTTATTTCAGTAGGAATCACACGTTAAAAGGTAAGACCTCGTTAGTTCTTAGCTCGTACAAGTTTCTCAACTTCTGAGAGTTGTCGTTCGTATGGGGGCGACAGCTGATTAACGAAAAAAAAAAACAGAACAGAACAGAAACCAGTATGTTGTCTTTAATTAAAACCCTTTATTATGTGATTTTCACTTTTGAAAAACAGCAACACGTGTGTCAATCAATCTTAGAAACAGGAAAAAGTCGCAGGGGACCAAATATGATGAATACAGTGGCTGAGGCATGATTACGGTGTGATTTTTGGCCAACAAATTATGAACAAGCAATGACGAGTGAGCAGGTGCAATAAATTGTTTTTTCCTTGGGGCGATCGGACTTTGGTTTCGATGTCATAATCATATACCCATGATTCATCACCAGTTATGACCCCTTTAAGCAAATCTGGATCGCCATTGGCGTAATTCAACAATTCCTGAACGATGCTCATGCGACGGATTTTTTTTGATAAAAATTCAGTAATTTTACAACGCACTTACATACGCTTCATGTCCAAAATTTCTGAAAAAATTGCATGGCATGAGCCAACATGTGCAACGATCATTTACATTTTTAAATTTCAAAATTGGACTCAGATTCGCCGAGTTATCAAGTTTTACGACCTTTGACCTTGCAGGTAATTGATAAAGGCACCATATGATTTTGCAACCTTCCACACAAGTTAATTCAATTGGACTATATCCAGTTTTTCATTTCAAGAGCTAAATTTATGACCAACTCATGAACTTTCCCGGCTTTACTTTAAGTAACGCCGGAAAAGTACAAAAGTAGCAAAATTTTTAGATAAATATACATGCTGCCCGATGAAAGTTTTACTTACGTTTTTATTATTTTCTTTTCATCAAAGTTGATTTTTCCATTCTGTTTGTAAATGAGGAATATATATCTGTGCACTCCAGTTCCAAGTGGTGGACCAGAACCTCTGTATTCCGCAATTACATCTCCCTTTGTTATGTCCATTCCTGGAACGTTTACCACCAACCAGTGAAGTACTTCACGTATTTTTGGTTCTTTACGACTGGGAGCATCAGGATCTGTAAACGGAAATATTTTACAATCAACCCAAATAAGAATCAAATTATTTGTAGGTCGTTTCCAAATAACATGCTAAAAGTTACTATATTTTTAAGGCCATTTTAGCTAAAAAAAAAACTTATGAAACTGGACTTCTTCATTACACGGTGCTGAAGTTTTAAAAAATATCTTTTTCATGAAAACTCTGGTTTGATAATTTTGTAAAACTTAGGATGCAACTTCTGTGAATCACCTAACTTTTTATTCATACCAATGGCGTCTGTTCGGGTTCTACATTGAATCGTTTTAAAGATACAAGTGATATGCCACTGCTTCTTCTTGAAGTAAACATTATTTTTGAAATCCTCATTCTTTTCTGATCAAATTTGGTCTCTTGATTTTTTTCATTTGATGTGCGGTTTTTGCATAAATACAAAAACAAGCACGTTTCCAAATAACCAGAAATGCGATACTCTTCCTAACGCTCATTTCACCAACCAAATTAGTGTATTCATACATAATTAAAAAATTTATTCACTTGCACGTTGTTATTGAAGTGGGTAAAGGGTTGAAAACGTATCTAGCAAATTTTGTTCTGTAAACACTTTTCACAGTTATCTACCTAGTTTAGTTGTTACGTATTCAGGTTTAAAATGGATTTCTACTCTGATATTGGGATAACCGCATAGATGAAAATTACTTGTTTGAGAGTACCTCGTTTTATATTTTTTTTTACAATTTTTTTGTCAGTGGTTTTTCAAAATCGAGTAAAAATGACGGTCATGATGTCACTAACATTTGATATGAACTTGGCAACACCGTAAACTCGGACTGTTTAAAAAAATCTATACTAAAACCAATAATGATTGAGAGTAGAAGTAAGCCCAGTTGACAGCAAATCGGGGGCGTGCTTATTAATTTTTGAGAGGGTTAAGAATGAAAGAAAAATTCTTAGTACAATTAGTTAAAATATTCATACACATTTTTTATTTATTTCATTAAAACTTTGCAATATCGTAATTTACCTAATCGTTGTAGTCATTAGGTGGGCCTTATGAAAACGGAGTAATAATCGTGGTAATTATAGTAGGTACCAAATAAATTAACAATATTAATAAAAA